CATCATTTCTCAAGATTTGTCAGGGCCAAAACCCAGCAAAATGGATAATTTATCAGTACACAGTGCAAACAGGCTTTTCAAAATAAGCAGAGAAAACATCCTCCTGGGAAGCCTTGGCCCACTGGAAAAAGCTGTGACTATGAAGAAAGGGCAGAAACCGCTTCTCTTGGCCCTACAGCCATGTCCGGGCCCACACTCAGCAAAGTGTCCAAGCTTTAGTCCATCGCAACTCAGCAAAATCCCAAAGGCAGACCCTTGAGGCACATACTCACCACACGTGTTCTCACTTCGCTGACCTGGGCTCGAACAATACAAAACCGAGCCAGCACTAAGGATTTTTTGGTAACCCAACATCCTTTCTCATCCCACACTTCTACTGCTAGAGCGACACCGCAGGCAGTTCTGCAGAGGCAGAGCCCCACATCTTCTGAGTGATGGAAACTCAGCATCTCTGGAAAGCCAAGCCCCAGATCAGCACACAAGCCTTCCACACTCTTTGGAAACAGGAAATTCATTCTTCACTGATTGTATATAGAAAGGACAATTCTGCATTCATTAAAAAAAAAAAAAAATAAAACAACCAACCTGGGAGTTGTTCTCCTAAGTGCTTTCACTACCTAACGCTCATCGCTGCCTTACCCACCCAGACTAGTAACAGGCACTGCACACCCCCTGGGAGAAGGCTGCCTTTTGAAGTGTTTAGGGATCCTGTAGAGCCCAAAGCACCCTCAGCATCAGTTTTGGCAAGAACGAACATAGCACCTACAGCAAGTGGAAGGGGGTAAGTCTAAGCACCACAACCCCAATCTATCTCTTTGTGACCCACTGGCCCGTACAAAGAAGGCAGAGGGAGGAGTTGTTCTGGGAGCCCTCTTCTTGCCTCTGGAATGGCCCAGGACCGTAAACCTGTGAGCCCTCAGCTGCTTGGTGTGTTCCTGAACTCACTGCCTTGCACTTGTTCAGGCAGCATCTAACACATGCACCTGAATCAGATGTCCCAGGACCTTCTTTCCTGAAAGTCATGAACCAATTTGAAAACGCTGAATTGTCAAAACCTGTGCCTGAGACATGGGCCCTTTCCATAGGCAGAGCACACGCAGCTCCAGGCTTTCAGCTCCCTGCAGTGTCCTCTGCACTGCTAATGCCACCTGTACACACCGGGAAGAAAAGACCATCCTCTGCTGCCACCATCACAGCGTCATTGCTGCAGCCCATGTGCTCTGATTGATGCCATACATGAAAGAATAAAATTTAGGCTGGCGAGTTCATATGGCACCCACAGGGACTGTTCAGCTTAGACTCTTGTGTTTGTATCAGATGAAGAAGCACACGTGCTAACGGGGTGGGTCTTCTAGATATCTTCCAGATATTTGACACCAGTTAACATATCAGCTACCAAAATCCCAAGGGATTGACTTAAAGCTTTTAAAACCTCTTTTCTTCGCAGTTGCCCAAACATGGTTATAATGTTACAGTTACCTTCCCAGTGGAATAAGCCAGCAAGAACCTTGCTGCACAGCTCATTTTCTTTGTTATCCCAAACAGATGTGAATACTCTTTTCTACTTCAATCGAACTGGCCATCAAAAAAGCAGGAAGAACCAACTCAAGCCTGGGCAAAACTGTAACTCAAACCAGCTCTGGGTGATGACCAGGAGATTCTTACTTACGGCATTCAGCCAGAGCAAAAGAAGAAGCTGGACTCCAAACAGTCAGGTTGAAAGTCTGAGCAAATCTTTACCATAGCTACAAAAGAACAGTCTTGGTGCTATCTGGCCTGTGTCTTCACATGAGATCAGCCAGGGCACTTGCCTGTTAAACTAAAGTAGAAGCTACTTCATGATTCAACCACTATTTGTCCTACTTTGCCTCTTGCTGTGATATTCTGGGAAAAAAAGAACAGCATGGCTGGCTTTGATAGTCTAACATTACAGGATCTGTGAGCAAATCAAAACAGAAGGATCCCTTCAGTGCAATCACTGAGCGCAGTGTCATGTCTCCTGCACTGGCAAACTCCACTTCGGGCATCAGGCCTGGAGAATGAGTGGGCAACAGCAAGTGCAGAGTGATAGGAAGCCGCCCTTCCTCCCCTCCTGCCACGGGGAATGGCCCTTCAGTTCCCAGGGAGCTCCTCAGCTCTCCCCAGCCAGGCTCCTGCTGCATCCACTTCATGCATTTGTCCATTTGGTGCTCTCTCCTCTTTGTTTATTGGCAAAAACAATCTCCTCCTTTACATGATCTTGGAGCTAACATCTCTTTTACTGATCAGGACCTCCAGCAGCCTCAGCTTGGCCTTAATCTGCTTGTATTCATTGTATTCTTCTGCCATAGGAGTGCGGTCTTCTTTCTGCACATTCCTAGTGGGAGTGAGAAAGCAGATCATGAGGATTTCTGTAACAGGATGTCTTCCCTCAGCAGCCTCCCTCTGTCCCCCAACAAGACCTACAAAGCAGCTCCTCTCCTCCAGTCCCTACCAGGGAACAAAACTAACACTTTCACCCTTTGAGAGGAAAAAAAAAAAGGGGGGGGGCGGTGTCAAACAAACTCCTCCACCAAAACGCGGGACGCATGCATCTTGAGGGTGAACACAATCCCATGGTTCCAAATGCAAAGCCTTATTTGAAGCATGCACTACTTCTCTAAAATTGCCAGCCTCTATGTAACAGCTGAAAAGTATTTCAGTAGCCAGCTGAATGTCGGGCTGCTAGCATGGCAAAATAAAACACAGCTTCTCCTGACTTGTCAGCACATCACGTGCATGAACAGGCACCCTTGCGAAAAGGAAGATGATATCTGATCAGATTTCTCTTAGCTTACATGAAACTTTTAAGTTTTCAGTGATTTTACAAGAACCTCTAAAGATGATTGCCCGTGGCAAGAAACTAACAAGATAATTTAAGAGTATAAGTGTATTAAAATATTCTATCAGCTCATTATTGAGTGGTATTTTCTGAAAACAATAACCCCAGCTACACTAAAGCAGAAATAGTTGTTAAACTAGTGTCTGAATACCTCACAGACTAGCAAGAAAAGGACAGAAATCTAAACATACATCATTAGGAAAAACCCCAATTATTCTATCACTGAGAAACTCTTCCATCATTCCTGTCATCTGTGCTACAGCTGGATTTTCGCAATCTGTACTTTTGCTTCCCACTGCTTATCCTAAGACAAAGTTTTCAAAGAGGCTGTGGTCCCTGAAGTTCTTTGTGGAGGGGTGAAGTAATTAATTTTATTGGGCAACTGTAATGAATGTGGGTAAAACACTGATGATGATGAAGAAATACATAACAGGGAATTCAGGTAACTTTCCCTATTTGGAGGTCTTTGTAGATGCCAAACTGATGAAAAGTAGCTGAAGGACAGGGAGAGACGGCTGAGAAATGATTACCTTCCATTTTGTCGGAAAAAATTATCTTCAAAGTCTCTCAATTTTTTTCTGATCCGCTTTTTCTCTTCCCTGACTTCTTGGAGCTGCTCTAACAGTTCAGGGCTGTTGGGTTAAAATATACACAAGATTATATATATGTACACAATTATACCAGGAAACACAGAGTAAATCTACAAATGTATGATTGTACGTATGCCAAGCAATGGAGCAGCTCCTGCAAGCAGCTCTGGCAACCTGACATTACTTGCAACAAAAAGCTCTCTGAATTTAGTTCAGCAAAATGATCCTACGCTTAAGCTGAAGCCTCTAAGGAGGCCAAGTGTGCCTTTCACAGTTCACCACAGCTGCTGAAGATGGGTCTGGTTTTGGTGGCTTTTACAGGATCAAGACTCAATGGTCAAGACTCAAAGCTACCACCTATGTGTGTCTGCATCAGACCTAGGTGCTTAAAACGAGGAAAGCTAGCTCAGCTTGGCCTCTCCAAAATCTGAAAAACCTTGTAGAGTACAGGGTTGTTTTAATCATGGAAGCCTGCCACTGGTGAGTGGAGCTACTATTCAGAGCTGGAATCCAAAGATGCAGAAGTCAAATATCAGTATCAGGACAAGGTAGTTTTTTCCCAAACCCTTTCATATGAGGGTCTATTGAGTTTACAAATAAAGCGCAAAACCTTCTAACTCAGACCATAAATGGAAAAACCAATAAAAATCTAGACAATTTTTTGACAAATAAAATGCTATCTTAGCAAGAAATAATGTTTTGAAGTTGCCTGTGAACTCAGCATACATGGATGCTTCATGGAGATTGGAAAGCCCCATATCCTGATTGCTCCTAGGTGGCATCTTATCATCCACCGGGGAAACAAAGCCGTCAGCATCATCTTCTAGTTGATCCAAGAAGCTACGCACGTTGAAATCTGTTTTCATGGTAATTGTGAAATCTGGCTTCACGTTGCTGTCCTCCTCTGAGCCCTCTTCTTCCTCCTGCAGAGAGGGACAGAGCACCCCCGTAACAGAACAGGTTACTGCTTCCATTTGGACAAACAGGCACCTCCTTCCACCACATGCACGGGGAACAGAGAGAAGTGGACAGGCAGGGCAAGCGCTTAATTGCTGAGCAATACAGGACACCAGAAAACCACCAGTAAGACACCCTGTACCCAAAGCACCTCAGAGAAACTGCTACCATCAGCTCAGATTGGTTAACGAGACCCAAGGCAATAAAACTGAGTGAAAAAATACCTGGGGCTCTTGGCAACCCGTCGCTTTGTTTAATTTATGTATTCTGATGTAAATAAAACCACTTACAGTCACTATGCACTGTCTAAAGCATACCAGCCATCCTCTGCCTTTCCATACAAATACACCGGGCAGCATATGGATTGCCAGGTTAAAATGCAAAATATTCCCTCAATAGATACAGCTCAACAGCTCTCTCTAACGGCTGAATTCAAGACCTCAAAAGCTCATACAGTGAGCTCAGATCAGTCTTTCCATGGCCCAAATGTAGAATGTGATTGACTGTAAAAGGATTGCTGCAGCTAAAGCGTTCCTAACATCAGCACTGTACCATTGAGCTGGAATACACTAAAAACTGGAGTGCAAACACTCTGCTCAGAGCAGTTTTCCCAAAGTACACTGATGAACTGGCTGTGTTCAAATTTTTCACAAAATTTATAGGGACAAGATTTGAAAGTCTTTGCTGCACCTGGTACTTGCTAATTCACAGCGTTCTCAAATGTAGGGCTTGTCCTGCGACACTGTCCAGAAATCATCTGGATTTCCAGTGAGCAGCATTTTTCAGTTTTCTCTTACAGAGACATTTCTAGAAGGCAGTTTTCAACCTGAATATAAGGAATGAGCCATGAGCATTAGAGGAAGGGAATAAATGCCAACATGGACAGTTAAGTCTCTTAAATATGTATGTATGTACATGTATATTTATTTTACAACCATGTAAACTCAAGCCAAGAAGGATCTACACACATGCTTATCTTTAAAAGTTTTTGAGGGCTGATATCACTGAAGCCTTCAAGTATAGCCAAAAATATACTCTTGCACTGGGATCGAAATAAGCCATTTTCTTTCCTTTTTTTTCATGCGATCTCTTGTGAATAGCTCAATTATTCCGAAGAGATTGCTCCCATATTTCAAGCAGAAAGGGAGAAAGCAACACCAGGACCTGGCACAGTCCCATTAAATCCTCAAAGTCAATGATTTATAAACACATACATTTACATGAGATCATACTCTGCCCAGAGTTTTCTTTTTATGTTAAAGCTCTAGGCCATGAAAATACAAAGCCACAGGCTGAGAATTACAACCAAGATTGAGGCCTGAGGATGAAAAAAAGATTAGCTGGGGAGAAGTTTTGAGTAATAATAATAATAATAAAAGATACAGAGAAGTTGGAAAAACTCCAGGAAAAATCTCAGCAAAATCTGCAGGGAACTTGTGAAAGTTAAAGCAATATAGAGAAGACCATCTCTCCAAACATAAATTACATTGTTTAAACAGAAGGCATAAACCAGCAGTCATATACTGTCCTTAAACCCTGCAAACAACTTCAGGCTGGGCTGGGAAGGGACACCATCACTCACTGCCATTTACCAGTCCCCAAGCATCCCGTCCTGCCATGCCGGTAAGGGCAGCTAGGACCGAAGCAGGAGAATGCTGATCCTGCTGTGACACGGAGGAGGATTTGCTAAGCCAATTTAAGCAGTAAAAACGGCACATTTTATTTTAGGGGAATCTCTCTGGCACCAAAGGAGGAGCTCCTGAGCCCTCTCCTAGGAGAGCAAGTCACTTCTGGATTCCCCTTCTGGAGAGGAAGGAAAGGGACAATTTTCATAAGCAGGGTGACAAACTGCTCCCAGGGACAGATGCAAGGTGTCTTCCCCAGAGATGCCCATGAGCACCTCCCTCTTGCCTCACTCCGAGCCACCAGTGCGCTGCCCAAGCCAGCAAGGATTCCTCTGGCCCGGAGCTCAGGAGCGAGCTTCCTGCCAATGGAAGCCCACGGGAGGAAAAGAAAGTGTAGAAATTTCACTTGTTTAGACCTCAGTGCCAAAACACTACATCTGGCTGTCACAAGACCTCTTAAAGCATTTTGCTTTTTAAAACGAGGAAGCAAATTAAAAGGATTCCCCGTGAAAACTCGAATGGAAGTGGCCATCTAAGGCCTTCGCTTTAAACAAGTCTCACATGGGAATCTTATTTTAAACCTGCCTGGGCATCCATACCGCGAACCAGAACCATCTTCATTGACTAGACCCATTTGGCTTGCACCTGCTTGGATATTTAGGCAATCATGAGGCATGTAAATTTTTCAGAATTAAAAATATAAAATCTCCAGAGTATCCCATCATCAGCACTCCCAGCAAGCAAGCATCCCAATGGTTTTTTCAACACAGACAATACTGAAAATATTGTACACAAATGTTTGGTAAGGCTTCACTTCAAATCACCTTTCAAGCTTTTATCCAACTCTTCTAAATGCTTCAAAACAAACCAAAATCAAAAAACCCGACAGGGTCAGGGGTCACCCTAATTGATAGCTGTAAGTTTTGACTCTGGGTGCAAGTACAGCTGAAAAATAGAACACACACTAAAAGAAAAAAAACTAAACAAAAGTACCCCTCACCAGACCACTACTGCAGATTCGATCCAGCAGTTATCTAGAAAATAGTGAGAGCTCTGTGATGATTAACCAGCCTCCAAATAAGAGCTCCAAACAACATCTTCAGTCTGCAATCTGGTTTTAATGAGTATATGCCTTGAATAGTCCATTAATATACAATCTACTCTAATTGCCTAATAATCAAATCGCCTTGGATGTCTAGCTCTGCAGCATTTCCACCATTAACCAAACTCAGCTGGATAACGGGTAAGTGACCCAAGTGTGCCGAAGCCCTTTTCCCCTCATTACATTGCAAGGGCAGGGAAAGCAAGCCAGGGCCCAGCTCCACGCTGCGTGTCCTGGTCAACAGCTAGGCTTCCCTTCTTCCCAGGGAAGGATGGCCCAATATTGCAGCATTCTTCACCACCCACAATCACTACCCCACTGCAGCACGAGAAAGAAACACAACAATCCTGCCATCCAAGTCTGACCAAAAAAGCAGGACCGAGTTGTTCTGACATCCTTCCTCCTGCGACTTGGTCAGAAATACCATTCACAAGGTGGTGACAAAGAGCCCTGGATAAGATAAGCACGTGAATGGGAGTAGGTATGGATTCTGTAGGTGCCCTGGTTGGCTCCATGTGCGAGTGTTAATTTTGTGAGAGCTCATTCCTGCCACGGTGCTGTGTGCAAGCCACAGAGCTTTGGAGTGAGAGAAACTACCCCAAAACAAGTTAGTGTCATTAAAAAGAAAGGAAGAAAGGAAAAAAAGCAAAGCACAAAGGTAACTGTGATTTTTTTTTTTTAAAGCAAAATAAAATATATTATGTGCAGGTGGAGGGAGAAGGAGAAGGATGGGAAAGAATGCAAAGCCAAGGAAATACTGTAGTCTTATCTACAACAAGGGAAGAATTTGATCAGAACTGGTGAGGCTTAAAGCAGCTACTGATTTTTCAGGAAGACACTGCAAAAAAATCAACACTGATGGAAAAAAAAAAAATCAATCATTCTCTTTCATTGGTATAAGGGGAAAATTGATGCAAACTGAGCAATTAGTTAGCAGCTGGAGGTCTTCACCTTTATCTCCTTGAAGAAGGAAGCTGTTTCGCCCTCGATAATTGGCTGCAGCAAAGGGCTTCTCCGCTTGCTGGAGGGGGAACCCTGTGACAGGTGTTAACAAGTACGTTACATTATGAACCCCTTTCTCCTCCACCACCTGCTCTCAGCTCATTCTCACCCACACATTCACCCTCAGCTCACTGCCGGACCATCAGGAGAAATCTATGTCTTGAAGAAGAAAAACACGCCTGGCAAACCCCCTGAACCGTGGGCTGTTTTCTCCGAGGATGTTGCTTAGCAAGGGACATCACTGCCAAACACTTTTAAGAAAAAAAGCTTGTGCGCTGGAATACTAGCTGGGCAGGAGCTAAAAAGTAAAGGCTGCAAGAAAATAATCCCCAGCCTGAGGCCCGTACACACACCCCCCACAGTAAGCTGGCTCTCCAGAGCTATGGTGCAAGCCTAGCTAGACTCTCCAGGCTTGCTTTCCAGAAGCACGAATTCCCCCTGAAGTGCCTAATGATGCAGAGTTAGATTTTCAAATGCACCCTGCCTCTGCACAAACCTCTCTCTTGGTTCTCACTAGCAGGGCTGGAGAAAGCCAGTCTTGTCTCTCCTCTGCTAGCTACAGTGCAATTTCAGTTTTGTGTCTCAACAGGACTTGAGCTCTCTTTTGAGAGCTTTGTGTTAAAAACTGCCCATGCACAGCTACAGAGCTTCTTCTTTCTGATTGCCAGCACCATCTTCACAGCACACATTTGGGGAGTATTTGGCATATTCAAAGAGGAACAGCTTTTTGCTTTGTTGGAAATGCAGGACCACCTCCCACTATCTGCAGAAAAAAAGCCCACTTCTCAGTGTCACTGCACTGAGTAATGCTGTGCCAGTCCATTCACCTCACTGGTGGTCTACGAAGAGGCCAGGACACGAGCGCTGCTTGGGAACAGCAAAAACATAAAGGATCATATGTGACAGACAAAGGAAATGAACAGGAACCACAATAAAACAATTATCTTTCCATAGACAGGCTAAAACTATTCTGTGTGTATTTTTTAGATCAAACGATTTTTAAAAAGTCACCTACACAAGTTGTCTAAAATTAGAGATGGTGCATTTGCTCCCTAGAGGGGTGCATTGGATTCCTTGCTGAAGGACCACCTCAAATGAGGGAATATCCACCACTTGCTGGATCTCTTTAATACAAATGAAGTATTAGGAGACTGTTGGCCCTTCCTCTCAGCCGAGAAGCCTGGGAACCACACAAGTCTGTGTTCCTGACACACAACCCTGCATAACCAAGCAGCATAGAAGACCTACAGCTGAGTGGATTGGTAAGGCAAGGGAAGTGAGGCTGTAGCCAAACACAAGATGATGAAATACCAGCAGCAGCCCAATAGAAAGAGGAGAAACAACACGAGGTGAGATGTGCCCCATGGCTCATGGGTGGGCACTAAAGTCTCTTGACCAGCTTTGCCTGACTTCAGTATACAGCATTCACACAGTTGCTTGGTCTTTTGAGTGATAAGGGAGGCTGGGACTTGGCCTTACTGATTGTGTCATATGCAGAAGTGTGGTGATGATACCAAATTGAGCGCTGATGATACCAAAGTGAGTGGGTGTGCTGACCTCCTTGAGGGTCGGGAGGCTTTGC